GCGTCAACCAGATACTCTTGGGTGGCAACACGAAACCTTTCCTTTTTCCTGACTAATTCCCATTTTCATACTTCGATTCTATTTTCTGTACCTTTCCTCACCGTTGGTATTATTCTCTTTAATTGATTTACTTTACCTTCGAATTTTCTTCCTTTCTTACTTCACGTAACTGACATAGGAGGGACAGCTAATGTAAGGAATGTGGGCATTAAATTGGTGGGCCAGGGTATTTTTCGGTGTTCTCCTTTTATACCCACCAAGAAGTCGGAGCACCTCTATCAACTGCTGGATCGAAGACCCGCTCAAGATGGAACACTTACGGGATTCATCTTATCGTTCTAGTCCCACTTGAACTTTACCCTGCCAGACCGGTTTATTTGAAGTAGATTGAAGGATAAGCTAAGAAAACAATAGGAGGAATGTCAGCTAAATAGTGATAATACCAATTTATGAGAAGAAATTAAAATAACGAAGTGAAAGTTAAAGATACAAGTCGGTTAGGAGAACGAAATGGTTCGCTACTGCCACCGAAGCTCATCTAACCGACGCGCGAAACACTCTACCGTAAACTCCCTAACGACCTGCTCCGGAAGCGAGTTCCAACCTTCAATAACTCGGCGCGACAAGCGAGTTTCCGTCCTTACCCGGTCAGAACGCAGTTTGTGCAGCTTCAACAAGTGATCTCGGTGACTAGGCAGCTTAGCGGGACCAAGTAGCCAGGACAAGTCTGGACCGATCGTACCCGTTAGGATACGGTAAATGAGGATCAAGTCCCCTCTAATTCTGTGGTAGTGCATTGAGTACATACCCAAGCTAAGCAAACGTTCGGGATATGTTTGCCCTCGTAATCCCTGCACTAACCTTGTACCCACACGTAAAAGCCTCTCCAGTTCCATTGTGTCCCTTACAAGACAAGGTGGACAAGCCTGGATACAGTATTCTAAGTGGCGTCGCACAAAAGCTGAGAACAGCTACAAAAAGATATCGGCCGTTAGAACACCGAAGGAGCGGCGAATAAACTACATCATACGGAACCCTCTACAAGCAGCCTTCTTCCAATTGTCCCCAGAGTGAAGCACTGAGGTGTGGACGACGCCTAGATCAACCTGCTGAGTGACAACAGGGATTTCACTTCCACCAACCACATAGCGCGTGGGAGGACTAGCACCTCTAATGCGGAGGACAGAACATTTCGCCTGATTTGTAGGCATCAACCATAAAGTTGACTAGTCCCAGAGCCTATCCAAGGTACTCTGAAGTGCCTCAGATCCCCCAGGGATATCCACAATATTCCAGAGCTTGAGGTCATCAGCAAGTAATAGCGACGGTACTTCAAGCTTCTGGGGTCATCATCAACAGCAGTACATCAGCCATTTGAACTGATGCTTCGCTGCCATACAACCATGAGGACCTGTGAAATAAAGAATAAGAAGAGGGAGAGGAGGGGGACTTACCTGAAAACCTTAATGCCCTAAGCAAACATTCCGGGTCAAGGCGCCTACACCTTATGTAGACAACATTCCGTCACAAACAGCTGGCTATCGTGCAAAGATAATGCGGCATCGGCGAGACAGCTTCCTTGCGGCTTTCACTGCCACGCGTCATAATCAGCCATTACCCCGCAGATAACTCAGCACCAAACACACTTTAAACAGGCAATCCGATTAGGAGACGGCAGCAGACGCGCCACTGGTGTCTACTGAGAGCCATGTCCTGTAAAGTCTCAAGCCAAGCACAAGGCGAGCCACGTGGACTCCAGCCCGGAAGGCGAGACGGACCAACGGTACGCAGTTTGGTCGTCAGTAACTTCATTTCCCGTTGCCAAGTCAACTGTCCACCTCGAGCGTTGCGTCACCCTACACCTGACAGACTAAATAAGGCCCTCCTAGGTAAGCGGTGACCAGGCATACGTAGCATGTGCCCGAGCCAACGCAACTTATTCAGTGCTATCTGTTGTTCTAGGGAGGTAGCATGATTAGCACCACCCAGTACTCGCCTACGCACATCATCGTTGCGGACACGCTGGTGCCATCCGACTCCAACAATGTTTCTCAGACAACGATGATCAAAGACTTGAAGGCGCCTCAGATCTTCAGACCGAAGGGGTCAAGTCTCACTACTATAGAGCAGAACGGCCCTCACTGTGCCCTTGTATACCCGGCCTTTCAGACGAAGGGAAACTCCCTTCTGTCGCCAAAGATGCCACAGGTTCAAGAAGGTAGCTCTGGCTTTTGCAATGCGTGAGCTCAAGTCAGTTTCTATGCGCCCATTATTGCTGACGCAGCTGCCAAGATAAGTGAATTGATCAACCACCTCGAGTTCCTCGTTAGCAAGCGTCAAGGGGTCATCAAGTGGCTGGTGGTCCTGCAGCAACACTTTGCACTTTGAAGGTGCGAAGTGCATACCAAATAATGGGACCACTCTGGACAGACTATTCAGGGTTGATTGTACCGTCGCAACATGGTAGGAAAGCAAGACGATATCGTCTGCATATTCTAGATCTACTAACATTTCACCAGGCAGCAGTTCAACGCCTACATCGTGAGATTCCGCAAGGGAACACTCCATGATGGTATCCACGACGAAATTGAACAAAAACGGGGAAATCGGACAACCCTGACGAACGCCACTTGTAGTCGAAAAGCTATCCGATAGGGCACCATAGACCCTGACGCGGCCTGTAGTGTTCGAGTATAGAGCACGAAGGATGTTCACATATTTCGTGGGAACACCTTTCTACGCAAGTATTTCGAACAGAATCGATCGATCGACTGAATCGAACGCACTCTTGAAATCAGGGAACACAACTATTGTCGGTCTGCGGTATGCGTGGCGCTGCTCTAGCAGCTGCCGCAAAGTGAATATATGGTCTATACAGCCACGTCCTGGGTGGAAACCGGCCTGCCCTTCCCTAATCCGAAATTCCCGTCCTGCAGTGAGGCGACGAACGAGCATCGAGGCCATTAATTTTGTCACAATTGGCGTTAGACTAATACCCCTGTGTGACTGCCCTTCTTGTATATTGCCACTATAATCGATTGGCTCCGATTAGCCGGGACGCTCTCTTCTTTCCAGATACATTCGAGTAAGGTCAGTGCTTTGCAGAGGACCTCACCTCCATCCTTAAATAGTGCAGGTGGGAGGGAATCCGGGCCAGCGGCACGAAAACGACTGAGGGCTGTAATCGCGTTTCGGACCTCGGCCTCTGACGGAGGCTCTTAACTAACCGTCCATGGCTCGTTTTGCATCACCTGAGTAGGAAGAAGTCCGGGGGCAGGGGGCCAGCTGAACTGATCTTGAAAGTGTTCCGCCCAAAGAGCCATACGGCGCTCCTTATTGTGTATCAGCGCACCTGCGCTGTCTCTGATTGTCTCATTGACGCCTGGTTTTCTGGGACCAGTGGTGCGGATAAGCTTGAAGAGCTTGCGGTAATTGCCTACTGCTCCTGCCTCCTCCATTTCTTGAGCCCTACTGATCCATCAGGCTTCCTTGTCAGCACGCAGGCTCTGCTTTAGTTCACGCCTAATAGTCCGTTTGGTCACATTGTATTCAAAG